ATTTGATTGTGGCATTAAGAATGAATTATCGGGTGGATAGAAGATTTTATGTTCTTTATACCTAAAGGGGCTAGAAAAATTTTTAATGTCATTCTTCAGTTTTTTACTATGGTTCAAGCCAGAGGTTCCACATGATGCCTTTTTAGTTTTTATCGCTTTATTATGTTTCTCTTTTTGCCTGGTTTTCTTGGTTTCTTGATGTACATAGACCATTATCTACTTAATACATTTTAATAGGAAAAACAATCTAACGATGAACATATACTATTTGATATGACATTTTGATCTTGGTGCGAATCACATTTAATTTTATCAAATGATTTAAGAATATTATCAATGGAATTTTTCTAGATTTGTTTTTGTTTTGACTGGGCATCTAGAAGAGAGAGATTTCCAGGGTAAATTATAGAGGTTTATTTTAATTCTTCTTTATTTCCTCTTTATTTAGTGATGCCCTTTCTTTTTAGGAGAATTGATTGAATATTCTTATTTTCTCCTCTTTTTATTGGGAGGTTAGAATATTATCTTGAATTTAGCCTTGAATATTTACTTGCTTTGTTGCTCTCGTCATTTTAGGAAATTGAATAAACAATTTTACAGTCATTCATTCATCTTTTTTGCTTGTTTGAAATGCATGTTTTATTCTTTGTAGAAATTAAGGCTTGGTGATGGTTTTGGAAGCCTCTAAAAAAAAAAAAAAACTAAAAATCTCCTTTTTTTTGTCCTTTTTTTTGTTTAATTCTACGAGTCCTACTTGATTAAGGAGCTTGGAGTAACTCTTATTATCAATATCCTACTGACTTTGTCCTTGACCACATGTAAACTTTGGTTCTTTTTGTTTCATTGTCTTTGGTCTTTCCATTTGGCTTTCTTGTGATTCAGGTGATTCGGATTATGACTATTTCGTGATTCTTTTACGGTTGATTCTTTTGTGATTCCATAACTTTGAATGTTGTGGCCATTACGAAATTCCTATGATTTGTAGCTCACGATTAAGTTGGACAGTTTTCTTTAAGGTTTTTTATTACAGAATTTGAGGGACTTTGCAATTATTAGTTTAGGAACTTGAGACATTTCAATTTGATTTCTATCTTGCTTAAAAGAATTCCAGTTGGATATAATTCTTTGCAGTTTTCTCCTTGAGCAATTGAAGATCAAAGATTTTCTTGGGAAAGTTATCTCTTTGTACCAACAAGAGGCATAATTCTTCTAGTTGATAATTTTTTATTGTCTTTTATTGTCTTCTTCTTAATAATTGCTATTATTGTGATTAAATGCTGTCAAATTTAATATAATCTGATTTTACTACATGATTTTCAATTGAATGTGAATGGTTTTCTTGTGAATTTGAAAGTGCATGCTTATGTTTGTGCATCTCATCAACAAATTTTGCATTAGAAAATTCAGTACCCATGAATTCTTATATTAGATTTGTATCATAGCTTAAGGTTTTATTATAATGACTAGTTTTAGGGTATAATATTGGGTAAATCAACAAAATCACGACTTATTATAAGATTCATGATATTTAAGCCATTTGAATTATTTTTTTATTTGAGGTTGTTTGTCGATAGAATAACCATTATATTTGTGTGATTTTTTTTTATTAGAAAAAAAAATATGCAGGTAAGCATCAATTTTTTATTTTCGTTAACATCTCTTTTAAAAAATAGTTATATTTTGTTTATTAGTATTTGTTTGGAGGTTTATTAATATTTTAGTATTTTTATTGCATGCATCACACCATATTATATCATTCATTAGCTATTTTCATGAATGCCATAAAAGCATTCCAGAACTTTACTTTTGATGAAATTAATTATAACTTTATTGAAGATATGAATTTATACTGGATGATAAGATCATGAGTTGCTTTAAGCTCTGAAAGGTTTCCTATAGGAATCTTCAATATATTAACTACCAAAGTGAAAAAAAAAAAAAATCATATAAGGAAACAAAAATGCTAAACAAAAATGCTTGAGATGAATACAAGAAAGTTAGAATGCGCACTAGAAAATTCTCAAAATAGTAGAGAAATCTTAAGGCTTAGCTCAGTATAATTTTTCGCCGCACAAAGATAGAAAGACAAATGACAATCAAAATTTTTTTTTGGGAAAAAATTATAGAAAAGAAAAAAAAATCACGGGGACTTGCCTAGTCTAAATAATCTATTAAAAAATTGTAAGTATATGGGTTCACTTTTCTTGTGAATTGGGGAAGATGAGATTACAAAAATTGGCAATTATAGTTCTATCGTTGTTTGGCTATAATAGCTATAATTGGGCTATAACAATCGTATTTAGTTACAAAAGCCATAATTGGGGGCTACAACAACTATAGTTTAAGTTACAACAAATGTAGTTGGTGACTTACCCTAATTGTAGTTGAGTACAAAATTGTAGTTTGTGGCTACAACGACCATAGTTAGGCTACAACAAATGTAGTTAGTTGCTACAATAACTGTAGTTGACTGCAACAATTGTTGCGGATGTCAAAAATAGTTGGTGGTTGTTCTTTTGCACTTCTCATTATGAGTTATGCTTTAGTTGTTAGATCACTCTTCTCTTCTTCCCCTATCATGTTAAGAATGATGGTCTATTTATAGTTTTTGAGGGGATCATTTTGATAAATTTGACCAATCTCCTAAAAAAATCTGTGGTAATGCCGTGTTTATTCCTTTAATTACAAGCTATTTTTACAAAATTTGAGTGTTTAAACTACTCAAAATTAAATAATCTTAGGCTTTTTGTTGGATTCATTTTGTCGAGCCAATCGATTTGACTATAATCAAACCAAATTTAGATATTACACTTCAAGTGTTTCATCTTGTCTTATTTTGAATCAGATTAAATTACTTTCAGTGTCATTAGTCTTGTATAGTTTTGATGCTTAGCTTCACTAAAAATTTATTGAAATTAGAATTTGGATGATCTTAAATTTGAATATGGAAGATTTATTTTCTAAAATGCTGAGATTCATGCCCCATCAAATAAGTTTCTTGGTAACATATCAATCAGGAAATTCTTGTATTAGTTCGTTTTTGATGTATTGGATTCTACTTGTCTCATGAACTGTCGACCAATGCTTGAAGTCTTCTCTGAAAAAGTCTCATATTTAATACTAGGTTTTTTATGAAACTATTATTAAAGATAAAATCATAAAGTGACTTATAAGTTGCAATAATAGATCTACTTGTGACAATTCATGGATTATTTTGTAGGAAGGTCAATAATTAGGCTTAAATTATTAACGGATATCAACTAAACATTTTGTTGGAGCTGATTTTTTTTTTCTAAGCTGGAGAAGATTGATCTGTAGCTTCCAAGGGCCATAAAATTTGGAAGTATATGGATGGCTTTTGTGTTTGGCTCTGTTGCTTGTGCTTGAATGCTTGTACTCAGAGTTTTTGGAGTCTTCAATCCATTGGTATTGGTGTTCTTTTTTTTTTTTTTTAAGTTGGTTGGGTTTTGTGCTCTTTTTTTCTGTTTGCCCCATAGAACTCTTCTAACATTCTGTTCAATGTTCTGCATCTTCAACCTTTCTATTTAGCACTTCATCTGATTTGTGTGATCTGTAGCAGCTTTACACAATTCCTATGGTTTACCCCCCGGAATGTTATGATTCTGATGTAATTCCTGAAGTTTCTGGTTCAGTATAACAAAATTAGCTTCTGGTTTTATCTTTATTTTATCTGTAAATTTAGGGAAATTGTGATTATAGATTGGGGATTTGATGCATGGAAAAATAATACTTGATTTCTATCTTGATTGAATGAATTTATACTTCAATGTAATTCCTCTTAGCCCTGTCTTGTTGCAATTGGAGATTGAGATCCGTGCTTTGTTCATTTACTTCTCTAATATTAGTCATTGTTTCGATTAGATGATTAAATTTTGTCAAATTTGGCATATTATGATCTGTTATTGCTGTGCGATTCTAAACCCAATGTATGATTTTCATGCTTTATTTCTTCAGGATAAAATTTTAATTATCATTTGTGTTAGATTTATATATTTTCAGCTATTATCTCAAGGGATGAGTCGTTGTCTAACTAAGAGTTTGTAAACTACAAATTTTGGAAGTGTGTAATTTTGATTACCTCGTCATAGCCTTGCATTAGAATACCAGAGGTCTTATGGCATCCTACATCAGATGAAGGAAAAGCTGAAAAGTTAGATTATGATGGCCGGTGATCTGAAATTTCGTTCTGTTGCGATGAAACAATATAATGCATTATACTTTTGGTTTTCATCTTAGACTTATTTCTCTGATCTATTCCACAACTTTTTTCTGGTCCTCTCCTCTTGATGGGCTGCTGAGTACTTTAACTTTCCTAAATAGAAAGTCTGAAAATTCCCATTTCCATCTCTGAAATCCTGCAGATATCCCAGAATATTGTGCTGTTTGTGGCGGTATTAGAGCGCAGTTAATCTATCCTATAGTTTTCTGTGGCTGATTCCAGCTTTTCCTCTGATTTTTGTTTATCCCTTTCAGCATTTTGCTGCCTTGACTCCCTGTGTTACTTCTGATCCCCGCACGTCTCCCAAAAAAAATGCCGGTCAATTTCTTCTAGAGATATTTACATCACAGGCCATACAATTCTTATTCGTTTACATATCTAACATCTAAATTTCTCCAAATTGTTAACATCACATCAGTCATAAACCAGAGACCCTGCTTCTCGGGATGGACTCCTCTAAACTGCTGGTAAAGCCCCAGAAAGTTGAATTTAACATGGTTTTTCATGCTTTTCTTCATTTTGTGTCATATAACAAATGTCCTGTCTCATTTTTTTTTCAACAATGAGTATGAAGAATTATATCTTACGGCATATTCGGCAACATTACTATATATATATATATTTAAAATCTTCTTATGATTCCTCATGAAATGAATGACTTTTATTCATTCTTCAATTGCTATGTGATATAATATGCTGCAAACTTGTCTTTAGTTGGTTCTCATTTTTTCCTATATCCAACATATGTGTTCCTCTACAGATCAACAAAACAGGAACTGGCATCACTGGCCGAAGCAGCTAAGGATCTGCTAAATTCAGCATCAGAATTTGGAAATAGTGATGCTTATATCACCGAAAAACCGGCTGTTGAAGCTGAAGGAGAGAGATGTTTTGAAAAGGTTGAAAGAGAGAAAATTGTAATCTCAATCCAGGACAGCAAGGGTGGACAGCAGCAGTTTCGGCTGTTCATGGTATTATATTTTACTGAATCTGATTGTCTTTTTCCCTTTTTTGCGTTTTTGAAAAATTTACATAACGCATAATTCTTGTGTATTGACATATCCAGCACTTAAAATTTGATATTTATATTCAGAACACTTTGGTCTCGTAAACCCACGCATGAAAAAACTGTTTTATTCACTTCTACAAAACTAGTAATGGTGGTATTTTTATGTAATGTCAACTTTTTTGAGTAATATATATCTAAATATGAAAATTATGAGGCTAGATATGCGAATACATAGAACTTCTGATGCCCTTTTCCTTACATATGTAGGATGATAAGTTTGAAAAGCTGTTCAAAATATATGCCGAAAAGGCGAAGCAGAAGGTAGAAAGCTTTACTTTCTCTTTTGATGGCCAGAGAGTGAGTCCTACGGCAACTCCTGCAGGACTTGGTTTGGAGAATGATGATATTATTGAGGTAAATTTCTTGTCATCTTCTGGCCAATGTGAGTGTTTAGATTGATGGATTTAAATCTTTTATTTTTTGTAAAGTTTGGCGAGTAGGAGTGTTAAATTTTTAGGTTATGTTGTAGTAGTAGTCTATCGTAACTCTGCATGTTTTTTATTTTTATTTATATTTTTATGAGCCTGTGATTCTGAATCAATCAATGGCAATTCTGCCAGTATATATATATTAAGAAATGACCAAGGACTATTATACGAGCCTCCAACTACTTATAATGTGTCTAATTATTTGAGTACCACCTTCTTAAGGTTCACGTTGCTAGAGGGGATTCGAACCCCCGACCTAAGGGGTCTTATACCGAGGATGACAACCAACAGGCCGGGGTACGCGGCATTTACGTACATACTACATAACTAACAAACAAGACGCAAGTCATGAGGGGGATGGTAGACATCTGATGTTCGCACGGATCGGATTCCCACTCACATAAAATATAGTAGATAAAAAGGGACTTTTACATATCAACCGCCTAAACTTTTTAAATATAATTTTTTGACCCCTTAAACCTATAATTTAGAATTAAAATTTGAAGTTTGGGTTCATACGTAAAAATCTCGAAAAACAAATAATATATATTAAAAAAAGGAAATATATGATACATTTAGTTTTATATCACCATTAATTCCTTCATACAATAGTGCAGGCATTAGGGTTCTCCTCGCTGAAAATGGAGGTGAGGCGATTAGGATCGGTGCCAATGTTGTAAATACCCTCTCGAATAGGGGTAGGATAGTAACTGTACTCCCCGCTCAAGTACTCCCTTCTCCGCGGCGGCCTTTCCTCCCACCTCGGCAACGGCGACATCACGTAGCAATGCGGCGGGCCGCGCTGGACCGGACCCGGTTGTTTTTGAACCGGACCTGTGGCCGGTGAACTCACCACATGCGACGGTTCAGCTATGGGCACCGGTTTCGCCGGAGCTGAGGTGGCGGCGGCGGCGGCGGCGGAAGTGGTGGCGGTGGTGGTGCTCATAGGGTGCTGATGTGCAGGATTCTCTACCGGGCGTGGTTTCGGGGGATTTGGATCAGGCGGAATAATGACAATGGGCGTATGCGTATCGTTACTGAAATTTACAGATTTGATGAGTGTTGTTGTTGGGCGGGAGTAGAGGTAGGCCGGCGGTGGCGAAAGCTTAACTGCTCTGGATATGCTTCTTCTCTCCTCTTTTCCTGTTTCAATATCCAAACAAATAGCTTTAAGAAAATGATAATATGATTAAATAATAGCTAAACTGGTCTGGGATTATGATTACCACTGCACTTCCCAAATGCCTTGGAGAACTTCTTCCCGAGAGGGCAGCACCCCATTTCTCACCCTCTCTCTTTCTCTCTCTATCTCTTTGGGGTCACATGCTTCTTCTCATGCAAAAGTGGTGGATGAAATGGAAGAGATTATAAAAGCCAGGAGGAGGATGGTTCAGAGAGTGGGAAAAGAGTGGTCATCTTCTTAGTCCATGAATAGATAGGCATCCACGAACTAAAGTAAGGCCGCTTTGAATATATTCTTCATGTCTTTCTCTAAAAGCTTCTCTTTTTCTCCTTCGAATCTTAGAGAGAGAGAGAGAGGTTATTTGCATCGTGTACGTTCGTTAATCAAAAGTTAGGGTTGGATTCCTTAGGGGAGGCCTACCTATCGACAAAAATATTACATACGTGTGCAGATATGCGGAGGTCTCCCATCCATAAAAAAAAGTTTTTTTTATTATTTTTTATATATTTTTTGCATTTACGATGAACATATGTGATTTTCACATTCTTAATACCCCTCGTTTGTTATTTGGACGATTGTTTACGTTTTTTTTTTTTTGCTTGGGCTTTTTTGTTTTTTGTTTTACTCATATGACTTCTTTTTCCCCATTAAAGACATGAAGGAAAATCGAGTTCTTCTCTCTTATTCTTTCCTCCGTTTCATTGAAGGCCATACCTAAGCATCTTAATTATGTTCTTCAAGTCTTTTGCAAGGGTGGATCTAATATTGAGAATAAAAGTAATATTAATCATTCCTAACTCTAAACTTATAATATTTTCTTTACAAATATAAAATTAGGCGTTACAATATATAATCACTAATAATTTTTACTCGATCATTATTGATTCGTGATAAAACATCTGAGATGGTAGAGTGATTTTTTGGTTTATAAAGCTGTGTGAAAATCTAGCACATAATCAAAGAATAGAAGTGGTAGGTAGAGAAATCAAAAGTTTTATGTGGAAAGCCAAAATAAAGAAAAAGTCACGCCGCTCAATCCAATTAAAAATATCCATTATTGTTTGATGAATATATGAACATGCCCTTGTCCCATGGGCAGGAAAGGGTCATAATGTTATGGTGTTGCACAAGGGTCGAGGGTGGTAGCAGTTACGGAAACTTAGATAAACCGTCTTTGAAGTGCGTCATTGTGTGGTGTTTGGGATGACACGTTGCTCCTTCACTGTTCTGCAATGTTGGCCGCTATTCTGCACAATGCTGCGTCACTCCATGATGTTAGTTGCTACTCCATACGACGTTCCGTTACTCTGCAACGTCGGTCATTGTTCAACAAGGTGCTTAGTTTTTTTGCAGCGTTGGTTGCTGTTAAAAAATGTGCTTTGTTACTCTGTAGGGTTGTTTGTTGTTCAACAAGGTGCTTCATTACTCGCGACATGTAGAGGGCGGCGAACAGTGGTCTGTGCCAGCTGGTGAGCGCATTACACGAATTTAGTCTATTTTTGACAAGCTGATCGATAGATACTAGAGCCGTCAGTCAATACAAATTTGACGGCTTTTCGAAGGTTTATAGGGCATGGCTAACTCATTTGTTGGTAATCTTATAACCTACAAACTTTTTGACGAAGTTTACCAGTGGACAACTTAGTGACTGGTAGTACCCATAGGTTTATGTTTAAAACATAATCGTTGATAACTTTTGGTTAACCGTTGGATATAAAAGAAAACCAAAAGCCAACAGTTAATATTGAAAACATACCTGTTGTTTATTCGTCAGTTGGCCGTAATAAACTAACGATTAGGGGTTAATGCCAAATTAAAAAAAAATATATGTTTCTCTCGGGTTAGTTCATAGGTTGAGTAACTGACGACACGCATCATCGGTTGATCGATAGATCGTTGCGGGACTGTCAGTGAGTCGTTGGTCCATTAATCAATGATTCATAATCATCGGATTATACAATAAAAAAGAGCAAAAAACCATCAGAGGATCGTCACAAAGCCGTCAAAATATTGTAGCATGTAAAAAAGTAAAGTCTTCTTCATTTCATTACAATTTCTACACATGCAATAATAACACATATACCCTTCTCCTTCCCAAAACCCTTGCTCCCTGCTTTTTTCTCCTAAAACCATTGCCTTTCTGATCGAAAGCTCTCAATACAAGTGGTGGTACCATTGAGGAAGGTAACCCTCATCTTTCTCCCCCTTCTCTCTCTCTCATCCCCCACACTTTAACTTTTCTAAATCCAATAAATCTGCCTTCTCTGCCTTATAACTGGATTTACTAAATCCTGGAATTAATGCAAAACGAAAGAAAAACTGGATTTTAAGAATCTCTAGGATTTATGAATGCTCTTTTTTTGTGGTTTGGCAGGCTTTAGCATAAATACTGCTTAAAACTGGCTATCAAACAATGAGAAAATGTTAAGTACGTGCAAGTCACCTATGTACAACAAATAAGAGGACAGATAATGTAGGAGAGAGTATGCATTCGGGCGTACTCTCCTCTTATACGCTATCCGTAGATGTGTTGCACTTACCAAATATTTTCTCATACACACTCAAAATTTTGAGTGCTATATAGGTAAATCCCCCTTTATATTATTATTTTCTGTATAACTTGATATGAGTAGCAGTGATAGTCAATCAAAATTGAAAACCTCAACGAAAAGAATTTTTCTTAAAGTCTATCAATTCGAACTCATGGAACTGTAGGTTTATTATTCATCATTGAAAAATAAATGAACAAAAAAAATATAAAAGGGGGTAATTAATTTCCTTGCCATAACCAAGAAGCGATATTGCGCGCATCGGGCATACCTGTAGATCGTGATATTAAGGTGATATTGCTTCTCAATATCACCGCAATACCATCAATACTATCCCATTACCTTCACACCCAAGCCGCACCTATCTCATCCGTGCAGAATATTTTTTCTAATCCCATGTACTTCTCCTGCTCCGGATCTTCATCCTCTGTCCTCTTCATCTCTGGCGGTGACTCTTCACTATTTTTGGTTGTGGCTTCGCTTCCAGTCTCGCCGGAGGTGGCACTGCTAACGTCGCCGCTGCTGGTGGTGGTAGTGGTGGTGCTGGGAACGTCGTTGAACGGTCTTCTCATGGGCCTCCTCAATCTGCTTCTTTTGCTCTTCGAATGCAGATCACGGCTTGCAGCCCATGGCCGCAATGGGGGGTCCGCCAGGTTTATACTTTCTTGCTTCTCCCATTCTTCCTTGATGGGGTTATGAAATGTGCTTCGCGGATGGTTCTGCTTCTTGTTCCGCCGCCGGAAGGAAGGCCCGGGATCCATGTGTGGGGTGGTTCACACAGATGAATGGGTAATAATTTTTCTTCCTTTAAAAAATATTACTTGTGACTGACCACTCGATCTGACGACGTCTAGACACAACCAGATCACTGTGATCACCTTACATAACAACTTGTCTTATTCAATTTTGCCAAAAATAAGAGAAAAATGGGTGTTTTAACAATATTTTCTAAATTTACCTCTATTTTCTTCAAATTCCTAAAAAGGGGCAATTACAAACAGATCATCCGAAACTACGTCACTGTGAATAGTACGGGACCCTCTCTCTCCTATTAGGGTGGAAGTGAAGTGCAGGCGAATGGCGTATAAGGAGAGCTGAAGGAGCTGTGCCCCAAAGCCTAAAAATTAGGTGCCGAGGCTGCTGGTGGGAAATCCATATGGTTAGGGTTGTAAACGAACCGAACACGAACGGACAGAGCTTGTGCTCGTGTTAGGTTTATTTTAAATTTAGTTTGTTTGAAATAAGCTTGTGTTCAAAATTATTCGTGAAGTCACTGTTCGTGTTCGTTTCTTAACGAACGAGCCGAACACGAGCTGTTCGCGAACGACGATCCAGTTGACATCCCTAATATTAATATATATAAATAATATATTATATTAATTATATAACTTATATTATATAAATATATAATATATATTAGATATAAAAATGGAAAACG